GAGTCATACGCCAAGCACTGCGGTTTTACTCACCGCAAGATCACGCCATACTGGCCTCAAGCAAATGGAGAGGCCGAGCGTTTTATGCGCACACTACAGAAATGTATTCGGGCTGCAATCATCGAGAAGAAAAACTGGAAGCAAGCGATGAACCAGTTTCTCCTCAACTACAGGGCAACCCCCCATTCCACTACTAACATATCCCCCTCCGAAAGCCTCAACAACAGGAAGATAAAGACAACAATGTTACCGGAGATGCCCTCTAGTTCAAAACCAGAACAGACAGCAATGGCTGAATATGATGCTCGGAAGAAAGAACAAATGAAATCTTGCGCAGACAACCGTCGGGGTGCCAAAGAAAGTTGCATCAAACCAGGTGACACCGTCCTTTTGAAACAGCCGAAGGAAAACAAATTCAGTGCTCCATACAACCCTCAACCTTTTGTCGTAGAAAAGAAAAAGGGAACAATGGTCACTGCCAAGAACGATTCAAAGGTTGTCACACGAAACTCCTCGCAATTCAAGGTGATTTCAACCAAGTCAGCCAAACACGATGACAAGGAAGTTGAACCAAAGGTTCCAAGACCATCAAACCCCCAAGAACAAAAACCACTTCAACAAAGACCGAAACGGAACGTAAGACAGCCAGCAAGGTTCGCGGACTATGTAAACTATGAACCAATGTGAACCAAATGACAGTTCGGACAATATCACTGTCCACAGCATATTAGTCAAAGGAACAGTGACTCGGCACGTTAATGTTTATATTAATAGATGGAACTATCATCTGACAAAGGGAGGGATATAATATAGTTAATAAGCTCATTGTTGTTTTGTTGCCTTGGCGCGCAGGTGGACCGCGTACGGGGTCTGAGACTAAGACTTTTTGGCTCCAATAGATATAGTTTTATTAGTTAGTTTTGCATGTGCATGTATACGAGAGGTTATCAATAAAAGTGTTCAACTACAACATTGCAGTACCTCATTCCTGGACAGTGGAATGTATGAGTATGTTCAAAATCGCAGCAAATGTGTGAACGTTTGTGGAAGGTAGTACGGAGAACTGGAAAACGGAGTTAACATCTTCGGGAGAAAGCCTAGGAAATGTGAATATAAGACGAGGTATTTTTCAAGGAGATAGTTTATCTCCTTTGATATTTATGATGTGCATGATACCATTAAGCTTGATGCTGAGAAAGGAAAAGGTAGGGTATGAATTTCGCGGGAAAGAACTCAAAATCAACCATCTTCTATTCATGGATGATCTGAAGTTGTTTGGAAAGAACAAGGAGCAAATAGACTCACTGGTGAAAACTGTCCATATTGTTAGCAAAGACATTGGAATGGAATTTGGGATAAAGAAATGTAGAATGCTTGTAATGAAAAGAGGAAAGATTGTGGAATGTAATGGAATACAGCTACTTGATGAGAAAACAATAAAGTCCGTAGAAGAAGATGGATATAAATATCTTGGTATACTGGAATTAGATAAAATTATGGAGGGTGAAATGAAATGAAGAAAAAGTTTGTAAAGGAATACGGGAGGAGATTAAGACTGGTGCTGAAATCAAAACTGAATGGCAGAAACAAAATCATGGCGATGAACACTTGGACTGTTGCGCTACTGAGGTATGGAGCTGCTGTTTTGAAATGGACAAAAGATGAAATTGCTGCAATGGATCACAAAACACGTAAACTGATGACACTGTATGGTGCTCTTCATCCAAGAAGCGACATTCATCGATTATATTTACCGAGAGAAAAGGGCGGAAGAGGTTTGATCAGTTATGAAGGATGCATTCGTACAGAGGAGAACAGTTTGGGATGGTATGTAAAGAACAGTGTGGAACCACTTTTACAACAAGTTGCAAAGACAGGTGTGATTGAAACGGAAAGATGCGAAACAAAAGAAAATTTTAAGAAGAAAGCAGTAGAGGAGCTAGAGAAAGCCTGGATTGACAAGAAAATGTATGAACAATATAACAGAGATTTAGATAAAGAAGTGGATAGGGAGAAGACATGGTGGTGGCTGAAGAAAGGAGACTTGAAACCTGAAACTGAAGCACTTCTGTGTGCTGCACAAGAACAAGCTCTAAGGACAAATTATGTAAAGTTTCACATAGATAGAACTGTTGAGTCTCCACTCTGTAGACTTTGTGGGGAAAAGGGAGAGCATATAACACACTTGATAAGTGAATGCAAGAAGCTAGCACAAAAAGAATACAAACGAAGACATGACAATGTGGCTCGCATTGTACACTGGAAGCTATGTGGTTTGTACTAACTAGAGAAAGCTGAAAAAGGTATGAACACCAACCAAACGGAGTAATTGAATCAGATAATGTAAAGATTCTCTGGGATTTTAACATACAGTGCGATCATGTGATTGAATGTCGAAGACCTGATATTGTAGTGGTTTTAAAGAAGGAAAAGGAATGCATGATCATCGACATCGCAGTTCCAGGGGACTGTAGAATTGGTATAAAAGAAACAGAGAAGGTAGAAAAGTATGAGGAGTTGAAAAGGGAAACTCGGAAAATATGGGCAATGAAAAAAGTAGAAGTCATTCCAATAGTAGTAAGTGCCTTAGGAGCAGTTAGTAATAAACTGGATAAGTGGATTGAGAAATTGGGAATACATATAAGAATAGAACTTCTACAAAAAACAGCATTGTTAGGGACGGCAAGAATACTGAGAAGAAGCTTGGAAAGCTAAAATCTTTGGGACCTGAGGCTACTGGTTGTAGCCAGCTTCCAAGGAAAAAACATAGCCAGCATAAGAACAAAGCTGTGAAAAACATGTAATAATGGAAACTTTTATTGAAATTATATACGAATATATACAATTATAAATCTCATATGTTAATAATGAGTATCCTTAAATGTTCAGTAATTCCGGATTTGACCAGTCCTTATCTCTGCAACAAAATATATAATATCTTGTCCTAATCGCGATAGACATAATTTTCCTGATAGCAAAATATTGGTGTCTTTTATCAAGACCTAGATCACTCAACATATTTAAAAAGGAATCACATTCTTTTGAGAAAACGCCTAATAAACTAATTGACAAATTTTACAGAGTTAAATTCTTTCTTTTGCTGTATAATGAGATCTTTGTATCTTCTGCTTTTCCGATCAACATTTGTTTGGAGATTAGACTCATAACCAACAGAAAGTTCAAGGATATAGAGACAATCCGAGTTGATAGACAGAAGTAGGTCTGGACGGAATGTGTCACCAGTTACAATTGATGGGCTCTTGTAACCAGGAAGATTGACGAAAAGATTGGAGTTGTTTATAGGTTGTAGGGTTTGTGCGATGAAGCTCAGAACAGAATCATGTCTCCATGTAAATCGTGGGAGGTACGCTTGACATCCAGCGACTACGTGTAAAAGGGTTTCAGGGTTTAAGCAGAAGGAGCAATCAGAGTTGGACAATATTCCCCATTTAGTAAGATTTTTACGAGTTGGAAGTGAGTTATTGATGTAACGGATGGTGAAATTATAGATGTTCTTTGGGAGGTTTGATTGGGATTTAGACCATATGCCATTTAATTTCGTCAGCGAAAAGTTAATGACATTTGAAAAGAAGGAGCCTTGCAAAATCAGATGATTCTGCAGTTTGTCTTCTTGTCCGGAGGTAAAACCTTTAAGGACTTCCTTTGTCGAGGTGTAAACGTCGTACTGAATGTTTTTATTTTCAGATGTTGTTTTCCAGAGATCTTTTATGGAATGATTTGGAGAGGTCTTTAAGGCGTTACGAGCAACTGTTTGGCACTGAACAAACTTGATTGACGGCGGGTAGATATTTTGACCAAACTTGTTACTGGTAAGGTAGACGTTAGATAAAGTTCCTGATATAGGTATTTCAAGCCATTTACGTACGTACTTGTTCACCACAGAATCCATATTTTCAGAGACCCAGGTTTTTGATAAGGTGGTTACAGTAAAATGCCAGGAAAGTTTGGATAGGAGGTAAAATGTAAAATTGTAAACTGCTTAAAAATAATTGCGTTTTAACTGTCTCGTCTAACCCTACAAGGTTACTACAGTTAGCTTGCACCTTCATATTATGTAACATTTAATGAAGAGAATCATTGGCGGACACTAGGGGGGGGGGGGCTAGGGGAGCCCGGATAATTCAATTAACATTCCAATTTTAATTATGTTAACAAAAACAAAGCGTGCGCAGCGAATAAATTTCACTCACTTAGCGAATAAATTTTTACATTGTCATTGGTGTGTCAATTAAATTAAACCACCATGCAATTCCATTCACAAATGTAAATAATCATGTAAATATTTTCTCTGAATTGTTGTTTTTCTATGGCTTAGTATGTGATTTATAACTAAATGCACCATTAAAACAGTGTTTTGAAAACCTAGTTTTTTACAAAATGTGTTCTCAGAATGCTGCAATGCCATTTCCGTGCCTTTGGCACGAGCCCTCCCCCCCTCAATATTTCGTAAAGTGTCCGCCACTAAAGAGAAGTTACATGTAAATTTCCAGGAGCTAATAAATATTGATTAACTGAGTCTCTCATACATAGATGATTATCATCAAAATAAGGAAAATGGTTAATTTAATAGATTATTAGCATTATAAATTAAGAGTGAGGACATGTTCGTCGAGAGTGACGTCTGTTTACAAGCGGATTTCTCACATGGTTAACATTCTCACATCTCTCACGTGGATTTCGCACATTGTAATATAACTTTATAAGTGTCTCCAAAACGCTGGGAATACCGTTTCAGTGTACCAAAATTTAAAAAAAAATTTCGGATAGCAGACCTCCGGACCTTCATAGTTTGGAGTCCGTCCCCTCCACTTTTTGGGATAGCTTGACGCCCTTGGTTTTAGATCGGTACTTTCAAGGAGATCAAGGAATTTAATGGAGTCTAAGTTATCCGTACATCGACGTGGATGTTAAAATCACAAAGTAATTGATTCCACGAGTTTAGTAAACTCAGAGAAAAATACACTTGTAGACACTGGATGAGCATCTGAGTACGGAGGTCGATACACAATTATGACCACAATGTTGATAATTTTGTTCACTTTGCCTTTTAGGCAGCAATCAAGAATCTTCATTTTACTCTTTCACTCTGATCGGGTTTTTTTTTTGGGGGGGGGCTTAACCCCCTCCCACTTTTACTTATAGGGGCTATAGTCCCCTTAGCCCAGCCCCCTGTTCCGCCGCCCCTGGTATGTTTAATTAGTGTATGGGAGCATTGCGTGGAGCCTCAGAGATCCTCAGAACGTGGAGCACACTGAGTGGACTATGGTAGATAAGGGGGAATTTTTTCTGCCTACTTATGCAGATCGATGCCTCGAGCTCTCTGTCGATGCGGAAGAATGCGGAAGTCATTGCGCAATGCAACAAAGTATTGCACAGGAGACGAAGCAAAAGTCGACGCTGTATCGCTGTTGAGCAAGAGTGTTTATTACGGTACGATAGCAGAATTTTTGTTAAATTAGGACAAAATTGAAGTCATTATATATTATGTAATTAATAAATTGAGAGAAGTTATTAGTATTTCAACAGTGGCCAACACTCAACACAACAGCCCTATTTTTAATATTTTGTATTGAACACGGTTGATGTCTGTTGAAGCAAAACCATATAACAGCTTGTTGCTTAATTCTCGGTTCATCTCGTATGGTTTTCTATAGCATAGGATATAACTTTAGACTGGTTTGACTAAGAATGACAAATTGTAGCAAATAAGGGATATTTCGATCCTCTGAGATTTTTCATGATTTTTGGCACCACAATCGAGTGACTAGCATGCAAGACGTTGGTCGAGGCTCGACGGCCCTCGACCCGCGCGCTCTCTCAACTTCCGAAGTGCTTGATTGAGCTCTTAGGCTCTCTAAAACTCGTAAAAAATATTTTGTAACACAAAATTTTATCCATGAAATGCAAATTATTTTCCTTCCTGATGAAATTTCAATTTCTCCTAGAATAAGCGAATTATACTAAAACGTTTCTGATTGGCTACTTGAAAATCGGCTGATAGTTGGCCATGGCCTTGAAATTCTATGAAATCCGAGTTGTGCTTGAACAGCGCAAGGCCAAGCATAAATAATTATTAGTTTCACGTCCTATCTTTTCAACAGAACGGATAGCCTGCATAGCAGACGGTTTTTAAACCGTCAGCTACGCAGGCTACAGAAAGGATAATGCAGGTCATTTTTTAAAATTTCTTTATAATTAACACAATCTGGTTACGTGGTCCTGGTATATAGTTATAAATATGACAAACAGTACATTCACAAGTTATGTAACGTTAATACGTTATTGGTTATTTATGGCTTGAAACTACGCTTGTTTTTAACTTTGATAATTTTAGCCTGTTGTTTGCACTCATCATACAAAGGATACGTGCAGTTTGGAGTTGATTTCTGGATCTGAAAATGTAGCAAGCAGTATTAGTTGGCTCTGCCAAGCAGGCTAAAACGTATGGCGTAGTATGTGGCTTCTATAGGATAGGAACAAGTGAGTTTGTCATTGACATAAACAATGTCATGCAAATATCAGTTCCGTTTTTCTGATATCCCTATAGCCTGGCAGTGAGTGCGTAGCTGGCGGTTTTACTGACGTGTTTATAACTGTATATTATCAGCGAAGATTTTTTCGGTCAAGTTAATCTCAGTCAACGAAAAATACGTAAGCCGTCGGCCCGTCGCTAAGGATTTTTGTGCCTCTTTCTCTGTTTTTCCTGCTCTTCTTGTAAGATTTTCAATGCCGTACTTGAGGAACAAATGAATAAATACTGCGTGGCATGGATGCAGATATTTGTCTGTGTTTTCGGAAATGTCAAAAGCAAAGGGATTTGAGAACGGATTAATGTGGAGGTAGCCTCTATCCTACTTCGAACATTTCGTGCGACACTGGAAATGGATGTATTTTCTCTCTTTGATGTTATTCTCATTATACTGACGATTGCCTCAGTAGTTTAAAATCGTGCCTGGAGACTGGTTTGTTTGTACTATATGACTGCACTCTGCAGTCAACGGGTTTAGATGTCAAGGAATTAAAGAGCATAGCTCCACGCCTCCACTATACTGTATAGGCGAGTTTAGACATCTCACTCGATATAACTTATGTCTAATTTTTGAAGGGATTTGTAGATGGAAATTTCGAGTGGAATTTTTATACATTTATTAGATCTAACCAGGAGCAGTTCAATCTCGAAACCAGGGCCTGCAATCCTCTGTGGAGGCTTACTGAGGCTCTGGGAAACACCAGCGAAAGTCGATCGGGCTCTGATTGGTTGTTTTTCAAGTGCTAATTATTATTCAAACTGTGGGTCTGTTTAGTGATTCAAACATCGTTTAATTAATATAACGTTTATTTCTCTTTGCATGTGTATTATGTTTAAACATATCAATGAAACACACAGCATAACTTTAATCATACTTTAATAAAACAACAGTGCAGCATTACCATATAAGGTCATAATAAGCCGTTACCTATAATATTTAAAATAACACAACAATCCATGACTTACCGTAATTAAACAAGTTAAAATAAATCACTACTAATTCAAAACCATGGCAAGTGTTCTTTGAAGAATTAAAGTCGTAATAAGCTTAAACAACGGCATAATTCATGTTTGACGGCAGTAATGTCTATTTATAAATGTCGAGCGAAGTACTGGATCCAAGTGTACTGATTTTCGTGCAAAAGTCGCCGGTGTTTCCCAGAGCCTAAGCAAGCCTCCACAGAGGATTGCAGGCTCGGGTTTCGAGATTGGAAGCAGTTGCGAACAATGCAACTCCTTTCCGTCGACCCGCGAATTTTAAGGCGGGCGAAACGTAGGTCTGTTTTCAGGCTAAACTTTTGGGTGCTATAGTCCCCTTAATAGTCTCGCCCCCTGTTCCGCCACTCTTGCAGGCTCCTCCATTTACTGTTCTAGAACATTTGGAACACTGTTCTAGAACGATACGAAATGGAGTACACACGGCGATCTGAAAAAGTGTTTAGTTTATTATATATGCGTGCAACCATGCATTACTTTATCATTAGTTATTCGTATAATAAATCGTATAATGATTTGCTGTTATTTGTACATCTAAGTATGCTTTTGTAACGTTTTTACTCGTTAATAATTCAATTAAAATGCAATATAAAGACACTAAAATAAATAAACTGAAAAGCATACAACACAGACACATATCAATGCTTGGGCTCCTGTAGAACGTGGAGCACATTGAGTGGACTATGGTTGATAAGGGGGAAATATTTCTGCCCACATGCGGAAGAATGCGGAAGTCTTAGCTTTGCGCAATTCAATAAACCTGTTGCAACCTGTTGTAACCTGTTGAAATGCTTAGAGAAGAAGCGAAAGCTATAGTGGACGTTGTTGAGCAAGAGTGTCTATTACGGTACGTCATAGCAGAATTTTTGTTACGTTAGGACAAAATTGAAGTAATTATATATTATATAATTAATAAATTGCGTCAGTACTAGTATTTCAACATGCAGTGAACACAACTATTACAGCTCTGACAAACAGCCCTATTTTTCGATTTCGTATGTAAACATGGTTGATGACTGTTGAAGCAAAACCGTAGAAAAACTTCCTGTTAGTTCTTGGTTTATCTGATACGGTTTTCTAGATCTGCAGCATAGGATATAACTTTGGATTGGTTTCAACAACAGATTGTAGCAAATAAGGGGTCTTTCCTCTGCAATTTTTCATTATTTTTGGCGTCCACAATCGTCGGAGTGATTAGCATGGCGCAGGAAGTTTGTCGAGGCGCTTGGTTGAGGTCGTATATAGGCACGTCAAAGCGTATGCTAGTTTTTTCTACCTGCATGGTAAAATTTCAATTTCTCCTACCATAAGCAAATTACTAAGACATTTCTGATTGGCTGCTTGAAAATATCCGATAGTTGGCCACGGCCTTGAAATTCTACGAAATCCGAATGGCCAAATGGGGCTTGAACATAAGGCCAAGTAAAATTAATTAATTGTTTCCGCACTAATTCCTGTCTTTTCAACAGAAAGGATAATGTGGAACTTTCGGTCGGTTGGTTTTCAACTTTGGTAATTTTAGCCTGTTGTTTGCACTCATCACACAAAGGGCCACAAAGGATACGTGTCTGGAATCGATTGCAGGATGCAGATCGTGTTCATTTCCGCAATAATACAACATCAGTTCTGATTTCCGCAATAAACATTTAGCAGGTAGTATTGGTGGGCACTGCTACGCATAAAAATGTAGCGTTGTATACGGCTTCTATACTAGGAACAAGTGAGTTTGTCATTGAGATAAACATACTCAATATTTCGGTATATCAATATGCAATTAGTCGAGCCGAATCACGCACCTCGACCTTGATATATCAGTTCTGGATGTATCACAGAAACCTCATCCAATAACTCGGTTTATTATCAGCGAAGATTTTCGGTCAAATACGCAAGCCGTCGGTAAGGATTTTTTTCCCTGTATTTATCTTGTCTTTTTGCAACGATTTCCGTACAATAATTAATGAATAAATGGAGGACAAAGATATTTGTCTGTGTTTTGGACATGTCAAAAACGAAGCTGTGGGTAATTTAGGATTAATGTGGAGGTAGCTTCAGCATACTACATACAACCGTTCAAGCGACACTAGAGAATGGATGTATTTTCGCTCTTTTGATGTTATACTCAGCATTGTACTGTCGATCACCTAGTCAAAACCCGTGCCTGGTGAGTATTAATTGTTTCCACTATGACTGTCTAACAGTCAAACAGGTTTAGACGAAAAGGAAAAGAGTGAAAGACCCTGGTATTGTCTGGTAATGATAATGATAATGAAATTACATTTGTATAGCGCATTTTTCATGTGGATATGTTCAAGTGCGCTTCTTACAGTAATAAATAATATACAAATTATAAATATTAGATAAAAATATATTACAATAATGTTAAGAATTTATAAAAGTATCACAGTGATAACTAGAAGTAAAAATGGAACATGCACAAGCATTAATTAAAAGCTTCTAAGAATAGAAATGTCTTTAGTAACTTTTTAAATGTAGCTGTTGAGGATGCAATCCTGATAGCTTTGGGAAGAGCGTTCCACAAAGTTGGGGCAGCGAGAGAAAATGATCGATCACCCAAGGTCTTAAGAGTTTTAAGTCTGGGGCGTTCTAGTAGACACGGATCAGAGTGGGATCTAAGGTTGTAACTGGTGGGTTTTTTAGTTGAGAGGAGCTCTTTAATGTACGTCGGAGCTTGATTGTTTAGGGCCTTGTATGTAATAAGAAGGATTTTAAAGTCGATGCGGGACTTAATCGGGTGCCAATGAAGATCATATAAGACAGGAGTGATATGATCGAACCGAGGAGTATTGCAGATAAGCCGGGCTGCCGCGTTTTGAACAGCTTGTAATTTCCTCAGTTGGGTTGAAGGAAGGCCATAAAAAAGACTGTTACAGTAGTCCAGGCGGCTTATAACGAAAGCCTGCACAAGAATCTGAGTTGTATGTTGATCGAGGAACTTCCTAATACGTCTAATGTTATAAAGGTGAAAGAAGGCAGCTTTGCAGCATTTAGTAACATGGGTGTCCATTTTCATCTGCGAGTCAAACCAGCAGCCGAGGTTCTTGGCGTTCTCAACACAAGTAACAACATTGCTGCCAACACGAATATTGTTGAAGTCGATTTTTTCGAGTTGTTGCCACGTGCCGATTAGAATTACTTCAGTTTTTCCCTCGTTGAGTTTCAGTCTATTAGCAAGCATCCATCGTTTGATGTCATCAATGTACATCTCAACAGTTCGGACTGCAGTTTCTTGGTCGATACGAGAATCTGCGCGAAACGAGATATAAAGCTGGGTGTCGTCGGCATAAGCATGTGCATCTGGTAGGTGACGCTCTATTAACTCAAGTAGTTCGCTTACATAAAGAACGAACAGAAGCGGACCTAGACACGATCCCTGAGGAACACCACAATCAACTTTGAATTTCTCGGAGGACACACCGCCAACTGTAACTCTTTGTGTTCGCTGAGAAAGGTAAGATGTAAACCATTTAAGAACAGTTCCAGATAGACCGAATTTCAATTGCAGGCGCTGAAGTAGGAGAACATGATCGACGGTATCAAACGCAGCACTGAGGTCGAGCAGTACAAGTAAAGTGACGTGTTGCCTATTCATGTTCATAAGTATATCGTTCTTAACACGCAGTAGTGCTGTCTCGGTGCTATGAAATTCTCGATATGCCGATTGATTACCAGGGTACAAATGATGAACTGATAGATGATTATGGGATTGATTGTAAACTGTCCTTTCGACTAGTTTTGAAACGTATGGGAGGTTGGAGATAGGTCGTAGGTTTTCAAATATTACTTCCAAGCCTTGTTTCTTGAGTCTTGGCTGGACATCAGCCTCTTTCCAGACACATGGGAAAATGCCAGACTCTAGTGAAAGGTTAATCATTTTGGTAATAACAGGCAGAAGAACATCCAGGCATTCGACGACCAATTTAGTTGGGATAGGATCCAAGGAACTAGATTTCTTGTTTGACGAGGTTATTAGCCGTTCAGTATCATCATCGCTCATAGGAGAAAATTCTTGATAAATCTGGTCACTGTTCAGTGAGACCGACGGCATGTCAGAAAAAACTGCTTGTTCATAGGTTGATGCTGTATCAAGTTCAGAGCGAATATTGATAATCTTTTGAGCAAAGAATTGTCCTAAATCATTAGAGAGAGCATTGCTGTCGTTATAGTGGGGAAAGGCAAGATCAGAATCATGTCTAAAAAGACCTTTAGTTGCACGAAATAGTTTCCTCTGATCTTGACTGTTCTCTGAGATAAACTGTCTATAGAAATTTTGCCGCGCTTGGTTCATAAGAAACGTTGTATGATTTTTCGCAGTTTTAAAAGCAAGGAAATCAGTCGGAAGTTTAGTACGTCTCCATTTTCTTTCTGCTTTCCTTCTCAAACGCTTTGCACATTTAATCTCATCATTGTACCATGGGACCGCAGGCCTGGTGGTAATAGTCTTGGAGATCAGTGGCGCTTGATGATTTAGAGCAGTCATCAAGGTATTATTATAGCATGAAACCAGGTCTATCAGCTTGGATGGTGGGTTTTTACAGAGGTCGGAAGAGGATATTTCTTCTTTTAAAGCCTCGATATTGACAGATTTAAGTTTACGAAAAGAAATATGTTTCTGTGTTAGTGGTACTGCGTTAGATTCAAGGTTACAAAGAACAGCGTTATGGTCAGAAAACAAATGGTCAACCCTCGGAATGCTGGTGATGATATTATCAGTCTGCTTGGTGATTATTAAATCAAGGGTATGGCCAGAGCAGTGAGTGGAGCCTCTGACATGCTGTTTAAGTCCGGTACTTTCAAGGAGATCAAGGAATTTAATGGAATCTAAGTTGTCCGTACAGTCGACGTGGATGTTGAAATCACCCGTTATTAGGAGAGGGTCGTTGGACAAAGTAATTGATTCCAAGAAGTTGGTAAACTCGGAGAAAAATACACTTGTAGTCACCGGATGAGCGTCTGAGTACGGTGGTCGATACACAATTATTAAATGTAGGCGGCGAGATCCATTAACAACGCTCCATTCAGAGTATTCAAAGGAACGAAGTTCGCCAGCAGCTAGTTTTTTGACAGTAATATTCTCCTTAAATAAAATTCCTGTCCCACCACCTACACGATTAGAGCGGGGGTGGTCGAGGAGATTGTATCCATTTGGCGTGCACAATACTCTAGTAGCCGACTCAGTGTTTGTAAACCAAGTTTCAGTGAGTGATACAATATCTGCTTTGCAATCAACAACATAGTCGATAAATTGAGCAGCCTTGTTGTTAAGTGACTGTGCATTAAGTACACATAGTGTAAACAGTTCACCGATCCTATTGTTGTTAATATCTGCAGCGGGAGTATCAGGGAGCAGTGTTATGTTTATTATGTTGTTTTCATTTACTGTTCTATTCTGTGCATATGCAGATTTGCATGGTGGTCGATGCGTGACGAGGGTCTCAATGTTGTTCTTTTTATAATCAGATAGTATATTTTCTTGTTGTCTCCCAGCCTTCCCATAACAATGCAATAAGCCTGAATTCTCGAGGTCTGTCAGGAATTGGGAGCAAGCCATGTGTGTACGACACTCCAAGTTACGGCGCAAGCTCGTCGACATGTCCGGAGAGAAAGATAAGCGGCTACCAACAGCACGCTGCGGTTGAATACAAGATGCCGTCTTTCTTCCGTTCAAACTTAAATTACATACTGTGTCATTCCCAGTTTCTGGGCCAGGATTAAGCGAAATGTCCATGTATATGGTTATATTGATAACAGGTTCCGAGTCGGTTACAGCTAGGCTAATATAGCCATGTTTATGCCATCTGAACTGTCTGCATCGAAGCTTCGATTTATTCGACATTCGCTTCGCCTTCATTAAAGAATTTGAAAAAGGCAAGAATAGTTGCTGATGCGCCGTTGAATTTGTAGTTTCGACATCCCTGAAAGGTTCTGTGATAGATCTAGGGTATTTTAAACCGTACCACGATTCCAAAGAAGTTATTAAAAGTATTAATAATGTAGATTTCAACGGAGCTAAATATATCTACAAAAATTAATTGCCCAAGGGGGAGTTGGCAATTGTCAAATTACATGCTTCCACAGAAAACGTTAAATTTCTAATACCAGGAGTGGGAGTTTACGATACATAGTTCGAAGCGCCCGCTAACTTCTATTTTATACTTCTGTTTGCTTTTAAATTATGAAAACACTGTAGCATTTTATCAGCAGTCAAGTCAAGAAACAAATAAAATCGTATAGTTTGAAGTTGGGTATTCTCTTTCAAACATATTTTGATATCAAACCGGTCAGTCGCCGTCAACGTTTTTATATTTTCTCTTCTATCTGTTTCTAAAATATGCCATTAGATTTGTTGTTTGCAAACGTTGATATACTCTGTGCCGATTTACTAATAGTACGCGTTTTGTTTATTGAAGATTGATAAAATTTTGAAAAGTAACTTTTTGCCACAAATTACAATGTAAACATGACACTGCCAAACAGAGACTATTCAGTCTCTTTATAATAAAACTGTCGATGATTTATCTTTGAAAATACTTTTAATTTAATAGTTTATCATATTTAAAACTTGTAGATAGGTAGGTTGCCAGGTAGTAAAGTATAAAAATTTCCAGATGAATGTACAAAAATTCTCAGCCTCAGGGAAATGCGTATATCAGGTGGTATATACAATCACGGCCTCCAAGGCCCTCCATGACTATGAATTAAGCAACGGGGCCGTTTATCTCTAGTGCAACATATTTAGACTCTAAATATGTATATTAATACTATTATATATATTGATATCTAAACAGACTAACATGCAGTGTGACCCATGGGCGTACCGGAAGGAAAAAATTAGGGGGGCGGAAAGAAAATCACCCGACTTTTCGTGATTGTGCCCGACTAGTACCAAAAAATCCCCCCCCCCGTCGCCAAGGGGTCCAAAAAATAGGGGTCAAAAAAATTTTCCGGACATACCAAAATTTTTCAGAACATCACACAAATTTTCAAAAAAACACCACATTGGCCACAAAATTGACTGAATTTTCGAAAAAATTCACCGAATTTGTCCCATTAATTTTTATAACAAACCAAAATTGCCCGACTGTTAATCGAATATTGCCCGACTGCCCGAAAAACTGGGGGGCTACCGCCCCCCCCCCTGTACGCCTATGGCAGTGTCCCACACGAGCATGCATAATATAAAGTCAGTATTATATTTCACAAAGTAAAAATTTCTCGCGTATTACTGTTAAAACATCGATCAACAAATTGCAGTAAAGCCAATGTCACAATTAAAGCTACTTATAAAATTTGTGGTCTGTTAACTCTAATACATGTGGTCTGTATTCTCTGATGTCAAACAGATTAAAGTTACAACTAGAGGGCACTCAGAGACTGCATATCTCCGCCCGCTACTCGGAAGTGAAAAAAGCGCAAACTACAGGGTTTATAAAAAAAACGCAACCTGTCGATTTCTTGGGAAATTCCAAGGTTGCGTTTTTTTTATACACCCTTTAACCAAAAGTAATCTATTGTTATTAGAATTTGAATGGCCTAGCACTTTGCTGAACGCAATGATGCGTAACTCCGTAAGCCTCGTTTTAGACATTGAATTTCGACCGAAATTCGGCGTATAAAACGTATCTAAAATATTGCCAGCGTTTATATATTAAGAAATTAGAATATATTTGTAAAGCACACGATTTTAGAGCAGCCTTTCTTATATAAGTGAGATTTACAATTGTATACAATCTAAAAAGATACCATTAATTACATTATTTGTATACCTTTACATACCCTGTATACTGCGTGCATAAATTATACACGTCCAATTACGCATTCAGTAAGATTTTTTAATTGACCGGGAAAAGCAAGATTCACTGTGCTCGTTGACTATCATGATATTGCTTCGCATGTGTATATAGCTTTTATAAAAATCCTAAAAAATTCCTTTAATTTCTAGAAAATATAGTTTTTAAAAGAATTCAAAACTATTTCCTGAATTAAATACGAATTTAATACGATATATTGGTTAATTCCTGGTGTTACATCCTAATAATCCCTACTTATCACTGGTAATCTAGTACTTCTTGGTAAACTAAGTTAGTAAGCCTTGGTAAGTTAGGTAAGCCTTGGTAAGTTAGTAAGCCTTGGTATGTTAATCCTTGGTAGGTTAGTAAGCCTTGGTAATCTAGTTCTCCTTGGTAATCTAGTAATCCTTGGTAATCTAGTAATCATTGGTAAACTAGTAAGCCTTGGTAAGTTAGTAAGCCTTGGTAAGTTAGTAAGCCTTGGTTAAGCCTTGGTAAGTTAGTATGCCGCTGAACAATGAAATTGCAGACTTTGCTTGCGCTGTGTGCCCACGGCATTTGTGCCTGCGGAGACACAGTAGACACTGCATAGACAAAAATCACAAAATATGCTGTACGGCTCGTCGAAGAAATCACACGTCGTGTCGTCGTTGCAAACGTTATAAGAAAATATATTTCTACACCGACGATGTGGCTGTTATTTAGCTGCTGTCTATCCTAAAGGATTTATTTAATACTGAGATGTGCAATTGTAACGAAATAGAGAGATCTTTTCATTTCTGAAATCAATCGCAAACTATCTATTGAAATCTGATCTATCTTTGCTCACCGACATTCTGCGCACAATGAAATTTGATATTCCTTATTGGGTAACTGGATAATATTCATGACAAAAAAATATACAGTCTTGTAAATATTTCCTGCATGATTTCTGCGTTATTTCTTCCCTCACTCCTTGCTCAGTGACAAAACGTACTTAGTTACTCACCCTGATTGAAATTTATTGTCACCTCCCAGATTCTGGGAGACACGTGACCAGACAATACCAGGGTATTTTCTCAGCAGGTGGCCGTGCACCGAGCATAAGAGAAAATAGCCTGGGTACGAGGTTGACCATGCACATCATTCTCGACAGAAAGTTAAGTTTTTCCAGAGATCTAGATAAGTTCACCATTACTATATTACTATTATACTTGAGCTTAATTAACTACACGGCTAAAAACGCACAGGTTGTTCCAAGTTGATATGTTGTGCGGCCAACTGTGAACAAGTTGTCAACCATGTTGTTCCAAGTTGTTACAGTTGAACAATGCTGTAACAACATGTTGACAATACTGATCATATAACCTTGTTCACGCCTGTTGATATCAACCTGGAACAAGTTGTTGATTTTCTCAATTTTTACGCGTGTACTATGGTCTAAACGAGCCTGCATGCGCCTGGTTCCACACTTCCACTCTAGCTTATCTCATAAGCTGTTGGCAGCATGTTTGATCAATCATTATCTTTCCGATCTCATTTCAATTAAATCCTGTGTTCCACGAGATCCATTTTAATTGGGGTTTTTTTCTGTTTTTAATTACTTGTCCGGCTTTGCTGTGACAAAATCAACTCCACTTTTTTCGCAGACGATGCCTGATTCCACTGAAATAACTTAAAAGCGGCTTAGTCGCGTGTCCGAGTGTTAAAAGCTGTATCAATAGTGATCTTTTTAGTATATATCCAAATATCGGGCCAATGGAGCCCGCCACAATCTAATGACACAGTGCCGTTGCAAGCTCGATAATTGGGCTCATATTCATATATTCGTGTTCTGCGTTATTAATTTCTTTTGAAATCGATTGTTTTTATGGTCTGTGAACACGAATATATGAATATGAGCCCCCCCCCCAATTATCGAGCTTGCTACAGCACTGTGACAAATGTCTTTAAATTAGCAAAAAAAACCAAAATTCTTGCTGACTTTTTCAATCGAACCGTAGCTATATTTGAACTCTGGCAGTCCGACTTGATATACTAGCTACAGCATATGATAACAAATATGAATTGGCAATGCCTCTGTCTGTGTTATCTGCTTTATCTAACTCTTGATTCAATAATAATAATAATAATAATAATAATAATAATAATAATATTGTTAATTAATTTATATAAATTTATTTTCAGCGTGAAGTACACACGATGGCGGAATCCTTACGAAGTAAATTTCAAGAACACCTTAGCTGTACCATATGTTTAGAGCCATTAAAAGATCCGAAAGTCTTGCCTTGTTTGCATTCCTATTGTCATGATTGTATTGCAAAACTTGACATGACTGAAAATATATTAACTTGCCCGGAATGTCGCCAAATAGTGGAGGTATGTACAACTTTGAATGCATGATGAGATTGTTCATGTCATAATCTATTTTCTATAATTATATGACATTGTAAGTATATGAGTGAAGCCGGGTTACTTATATCAGTCGCGGCGGAACAATTGTTAACGTACGTTATTTTGGGGGGCTATTCTTCCATAAATTGTCCAACTATATAAAAAAATTTCTGGAGGGGAGGGGGGGGGGGAGGGAGGAAGTTGACATATTTCATATTCCATATCTTTAATACATTCGCCGGTTTTCTTTCATTTTCCCAAATTGTTTCAGTCTAAATTTGCCCAATTTTAATATATAAACTTTCAATATTTCCAATCTTTAACCATTCTCCTCCCCTCACATCCCACCTCCCCGTTCCGCTGCCACGGACAACCTCGTCCCCAGGGCCTTTTGAGGAAAGGGCCACGGACTTATATGACGTTGCTCTCAGTGGCCTCGTACACTGGGTCAAATACTTAGTTCTTGAAATACTGTGACTGAAAACAATGCATGCATGGGCTGCATGTTCGCGGCCACGATGGATAAATTTGGCATTTCATTCACGGTGGTTTTGGTGACGTCAAAAGCAGGCTTAGCCATATGAAACTACTAACAATTATTAGATGCTTTTAAAAAATGTTCTCCCTCAATTTGTTATTTGAAAGAGTAACCGACGTATAAATTTTGGGCTCAAGGAAAGTATGTTTGTCTGACCCTGCTTGTGACGTAACATGCACATCCACAATAATGAAAGATACCGGAAAAAAAAACATTTGAAAATATTTCGTTAACTAAACAGCATTTGAAGAAGATCCATAAAGATTTTCCCATAATTTTAAAAGTTCTTTCAAATGAGACAAACTAAATTTTATTGCCATATTCCTTCAAGTAAAGCAAGCATGGCACAGTAGACGTACGAACTATGGCACAGGCAATTGGGGCATAGCCTCCAAAACTTTAAGGCTCTTAGAAAGGTTTAACAATCTACAGAAGAACATTTCTCTCCTAAGATCTGCCGTTCAAAACACGATAGTTCACACACACCAAAACCAATATAATACAAACCCTGGCAATTGGGAAATTCCCAGTTCATTTTGAATTAGGAAGTAGCTGGTTATCGGCCTTTTTAACAAGGCCGGCGAGAGGGGGGGGGGGCAAAATACCTGGGGCCCGGAGTGCTCAGAGGGTTTCGGAAATCTCGGTAAAATGTCCGTAACTATTTTTAAAGACTACAACGCCTATTTTCTGGTACGGTAACATCCACACGCCACACGCGCCATTGGCACCGAAATTCTCCAGCGGTTTCTTGCAAGTAATTCGCTGGCGATTCCCTCGGGGGGGGGGGCGTGTTCACCAATTTGGCCCATGGCCCATGGTTAGCTTTCGCCGGCGTTGCTCTTTAACACCCTGAAACCTCGACGTTTCGAACGAAGGTCCTTCGGGAGCCTTCGCTCGATCAACGAAACGTCAAATTTCTCCTTGTATTTTTCAGGTAGTTGATATCCTTATCAGTCCGCAGCTTTCGTGTCATTCAATTGCCTGTAACACGTACATACGATATACATTGATCTCAAAGTTCCATATATTATATTTCTTTCTAGGTTCCTGCACCTCCAGATGTCTCATTCCTGCCACCAAACTTTTTCGCCAAAAATCTTCTGGCTACTTTGTTGTTAGCTTCAGAACCTGATTCCGAGAATATTGTCTGTGATAACTGTGACAGTGGAGAACACCCGGAAACACGTTGTCAACAGTGTACAAGATTCCTCTGTCAATTTTGTACGGAATCGCACAAAAGATCACGAGATACCAAAACCCACACTTTGAGTACTTTGGATGAATTGAGAGAAAGTGATTCGCCTGTTATTGCGGAAACAGTTCGTTGTCAGAAGCATGAAGATGAAGTTATCAAGCTTTACTGTAAGACATGTCAAGAAACTATTTGTAGAGATTGTACTATTGTGGATCACCGTCAACATGACTACGTGTTTGCCCGAGATGTGTCTCAAGAAAAGAAAGACGAGCTGCTGCGCTTGGTTGGGGAAGTTAAACAGAAGAGAAGCGAGATGGCTGAAAGTTTGGAATACCTCAAGAAGTTGGAAGAAATCGTGAATGAAAGCAATGAGTCCACGGTTCCAAAAATAAATCAATATTTTGCCGACTTGGTATCTGTCGCAAAAAATAAACAAAACGAGTTTTTGGAGGAAGCAACAGCCGTAAAGAATGTCAAATTAAAGGAGCTTCATTTACAACGAGAAGAATTGGAATTAAATTTGGGAAGCTGTGATAGTAGCATCGAATTTACTGAACAAGCGTTCAAAAACGGCAACGATGTGCAAATTTTGAACTTGACAAAATATATGGCACAATGTTTAGAAAATTTAAAGAATAAGAAAAGTGAAGTCCATCCTCCCCATGATGTCGATGATGACCAACCTTTGTCTGTAACGGAGTTGCCTGATCACGTGAATATTTGTGAACGAATGGCTCAATTTCATTTTGTTGGAGACGGCAGCGAAACTTCAGATATGTACACAGCTGCCTTCACGTCCCCGAATGAATATTTAGAAGTTGGGGTGCAGTCAGAAGTAATCATCCAACCTAAGGACAGTTCGATAACACAAGATAAGAATCGAGTCAAGATTACAATTAGCCCTAGTTTTGAAGGTGTTGCAGTTGAAGATGTTGTTATTGACAACAATGATGATGGTTCGCGTACGGTACGTTTTCGTCCCATCCACGTTGGAGAATTAACATTTGTAGCATATATTAATGGTTCTCGTGTTTCTGAATGTGTCTTAACAAATACAGTGAAGACAACGAATGCGTTAAGAGACGGTTGTCATATTGGTGACTACATTTTTGAGTCTGGAATTCATACTTGGGGGATAGAAATAGATCATTCGGGCTGTTCGTGGGGGGCGCGAGTTGATTTTCATGTAGGGGTAAGTGATTGTACAAACTCTAGCAGTGCAATTTTTACAGGCTATGTGAAACCAAACTCCCGAGACACTGTTAACCTTACCCTTAATATGGAGAAGAAAGAATTACACATGAAATCTTCGTGGAACTCTAAAGCTAAGAAGCTTGATCTAATGTCGTGTAGAAGGGTGTTTCCTTATTTCTGGGCCGACTGCGGTGAGTGCAAATTAACTGTTATAGCAGATGGCTGGTTTTTCATAAGATATAAGAAGAAATAAGAACTGTTATACACATCCGGGAAGTCAAAACTGGAAAACACTTTTATATAAATCTTGTTGTTAATGAATTAAGGTAGTTCAAGCAACAGGCTTTATGCACAGCCTGAGATAATTTTATGTGGTCAATAATATTAAAATTTATAGATTGCATAATTTGGTAAATTATGTATGAATATATTATATATAGCACATGTAATCTAAATAAACCTTTGTAAGAGAGAGGCTTGGAGCAAGAACAAGTTCAACTGTAAGTTTATCAGTTCAGCACTTTTGCGGTTTGAAAATTTTTGTTCCATAGCCTTTTTGAAATTTAAGCCCACGTAAATGACGTTTACAACTTGTATTATATATTATTCTTGGTGTTGGTAATGGTGTCAGGCCTTTTTTAACTATATGACTGGTGGGGGAAAAGCCTCCCCCAGCCCCCCAGTACCACCCCACCCAACCATCTTGCCCCCCTCCCAGTCAATCTCACAGACAACTGGAACCCCTAAATTAGGGGTTCCGGTTGTTGTCGGCATGCACTATTGATAAACGTTAAACCAATCACAGCACAGGAAAAATTATATTTCCCCCAGAGCCAATGCCTTTCTTGCCCGCGCACAGGCATTGCTCTGGGTAAGAGATTGCCCCCCAGTCAAAGTCCTTTTCTCTAAATTATAAGCCAATCATTGGACGAAAAATGGAACTTATATTAGAAGCTCCGTTTGATATTCTAGTAACTGAAACCTGCTGATTCAATGGCTTTTTAAAAATGCTAAACATTGTGTTGTAAATACCTTTCCAAGTGGATAGCCCCTATTCCATACCTATAGATTTGCGTTGTTGGAAGGCTAGCCTAAACAAGTTACTTTCGAGTTGTATTATTTACATAAACATACCATGTCAGTGCTTAAATGAAGATTCAGTATATCTATACAGGGTGCAGTGTATCAGAAAAAAGTACACAGTTCGAAAAAGTTCACTAAAGTCAGATGCGCGCGACATTTGCGAAAACGTTCAGTAAACCTATATAAACCTAACACTAAAATTATTTAAAATGCTAGCGTTTTTGCATCTACTGATTTTTAATCAGTAGAAGCATTGTCAGGACGTAGGTATAGGTATATGTCGGGAAAAGGCACATTTGATGACATATTGATGACGCTGCCTTGTCCCTCGTCGCTTCAGTTGGGAATAGAGATCAGTGGAAAAACAATGGGAGCGCGGCGAGTGTATCTAAAAGTCGAGGGTCGAGAGTCGAGAGTAAAGGTCGAGAGTCGAGAGTAAAAGTCGAGAGTCGAGAGTAAAAGTCGAGAGTAAAAAGTCGAGAGTCGAGAGTAAAAAGTCGAGAGTCGATCGAGAGTGAAAAGTCGAGAGTCGATCGAGAGTAAAAAGTCGAGAGTCGGCAAATGTCATCAGAAACAACAAAGTCAAAATATTTTTAACACAATATATAACCGATCCGTAACAACAGCTGATTATAGCCGTACGGGCGGGAGGGGGGGGGGGAGGCAGTCCCGCCCCCCAGTCAAAATAAAGTCATGCAAATTATAAACGTATAAATTCGGGCAAAAATTGGGGGAAATAAATTTAAAATTTGAAAATGCCAGAAATATGTAAAAGAAACGAGGAATCGACAAATAGGAAAATATTTTTGTCTACTTCCCAACGACAATTTTGGAAATTTAGTTACACGGAAAATTTTTTTCATTGGGTAAAAGTCGGGTAAATTTCTTTCTGGCTCCCTGATTTTTCCCGCCCGTACGCCCTATGGCTATGACGGCTGAACTAATTTCATTTCCTGTGTATCGGAACCACAAAATACAATATTTGCGAAACATAATTTAGTATGCTCAAATTCTCGAAATTAAAGTAAACAAGAGGCATATACAATCAAAGGAATAATCCAGTATAACAAAAACTTTCGCAAAAATTTAGCCACAACATTCAATAATAATAACTATTATCTAATAACTAGCTTTTATCACTTCCTTATATATTACTGTCCATCCTTCCCGCTTTTACATGCACCTATTTCCGCGAAAAATTACTCATATGTGAAGCTACATATACCAGTATTAAAATTATTATACTAGGACTTTACAATCACGTGCAAGACATATTACCACCCGATAGAGTCACACATACGACAAAAGAATCCTATTTTTACTGGCTCGTATTTATGAATTCACAATTGTATGAATCATTAGATGTGATCAACGTGGATTTCTTAAAACGCTCTCGTTTGATATAAACGTACGTTAATGAATAAGTGACATTTTAGTTACAAGCCTGGAGATGGCTGTCAAAATTCAGCGGAGTTTATGTGTCAGAATAAAATGTGAAAACATTTAGCAAGACTGAGGCATCAAATGCGATATTATTTTCTTATCCAATCTTTTTTGTTCACGTTATTATTATTATTATTGACTGTTGTAGCAATATTTATTGGAAAGTTTGTATTTCAGCCGTTGGTACTTGTTACGGAATGGCTATGTAAAGCTATATATAGATTGTGCCGGTTAAACGTAGTTAAAAATATTTTGACTTTGTTGTTTCTGATGACATTTGCCGACTCTCGACTTTTTACTCTCGATCGTCTCTCGACTCTCGACTTTTTACTCTCGACTTTTTACTCTCGACTTTTTACTCTCGACTTTTTACTCTCGACTCTCGACTTTTTACTCTCGACTCTCGACTTTTACTCTCGACTCTCGACTTTTACTCTCGACTTTTACTCTCGACTCTCGACCTTTACTCTCGACTCTCGACCCTCGACTTTTAGATACACTCGAGCGCGGGTTGATGACGTATCGATGTAATGCATTGCGAGAACAGGGCGAAAGTCGGTTATCTACGCTGTTGCCCATAAATGGTTTTGTAAATAACACGAGTACTCAATAGGTTTTGTCAAGGCCAGAATCTATAAGATTCTTCGGAGAAGAACAAATTAATCATAGGCATTTGGGCAGGCGTTTATTTAACGACGCTCTCTCTTCTCCTTTCTCGACGACTTTGTTATTTCCTCTGTGGTTCAGTGCTATGTCAGGCCTGTTTTATACGTCGAATTTCGGTCGCGTCGAATGCAATTCAAACAATAGATAATGAAGCTTACTGAGGTTTATCATCTCATTATCTATTGTCTTAATTGCATTCGACGCGACCAAAATTCGACGTATAAAACGGGCCTTAGTTGATCAGTGCATGCTATGAAGACATATAACACCACCATTCGATTCAGTGAAACAATATCAACTAATTCCTCACAATATCAACATTGTAGCGATTTATGGCCTTTGAAAGTCAAGCGAGATCGTATATTATCAAATTACGCAATTGTCTGAACAAAAATATAACTTCGGCCCCTTTGGCTTTGGACGTATCTTCATTGCAATATTCTTGTTCGAATCATTATCACTATTTTAATAGTTAATACTATGACTGTGTGGAGTGTTTATATTTTCGAGATCAGATTGTATCTTCAAATTTGTATCTGTTCGGTTTTATCACGCAGATATGTGAACTCACCCGCATTGAGTGGGTGACACCCGCATTTTGGAATCATCACACGCGGAAAAATTGGCACATAAAATCACCCGCATTAGCAAATTTTATAGCAATTCACCCGCATTCTGTGATTCTGTCTTCTGATTCTTGATTCGTTGTTCTGTTTTTGGTTGGTAGAGTGTATGCATGCGCACATCTACTTCTACTTCAACTAGACTTAACTCTTAAGACGTTTGTATACATCTGTTTTGTCATAAACAAGAATATAAATATCTATGGAAGTTAGAAATATGGGGCTTAGGGGATGGGGGGCGGTTTTTCCACCATATTGCGAAGGCCGCCATTTTGCTTTAAGAACCTTGTATACCCAAGCCTACGCGCTCCTATCGATCAGTATATAGCGCAAAGGTCTGAGCATAAAAAAAATTTCAAATATTAAACTGTTTTAAGCTGTAAAACGAAGAGATTTACATAAAAAAAATCAAAAAAAAATCAGAGGCGGCAGAAAATCGAGAGGCGGGCGGTGACGTTAACCAAGTATTTTTTTTTATTTGGCCTTATATATCACCCGCATTTTTGTTACTTAGGGTTCACATCTCTGTATCACGGTATATAAAGATTTCAGATTTCTGGCCCGACTGTGAGCTAACAACAACAACAAGCTAGCAATCCCAACCGGGAATACAATTTTAAAACGTCAACAATGTCAATGCGACGTTTGTCACGTTGTGCTTGTGCTATGACTCTGGAAATGCCAGAAATCGATTCCAAAGGTCCGAGTGCACATCTATGCTTTATCTGCTCAATGCCTTTTATTTCCCAGTGCTACTAGCTATTCTATTCAGTAGATGCATGTCCGCCACAGCGGACCTATGTTTAGAGTAGGAAAGCTGTTACTAAAAACCCCTCAAAAAAGGCTTTGCGCAAAAAACTTTTAACTGCGAGATCTTCAAAACCTGGATTTTCTCCCATTTTGTTAGTTCAAACGCGATTTCTTTGCATGATTTCAAATTAATTTTATGCATGCTCGGATGTTTGCATAAATTACAGTACGAAATTCGCAAGCCAATTCCCAAAGGTCCTTTCACAAAATTATTTACATGCAGTGTTTATTTACAAACAAAATCAATCTTCAACATAGGAGGGCACATTGAAGATTGATTTTGATTGTAAACTGCATGTCAATAATTTTGTAAATAAACACTGCAGACCAAATTTCTTGAAACTCTGATAGCTCGTGCAAGACAGTCCATATTTTGACTCTGTGTGATTAGATTTTGTTTCCAAATGAAAATTTTTTTGCGCAAGGCCTTTTTTGGGGGTTTTTAGTAACGGCTTTCCCGCTCTAAAAATAGGTACCTGTACCGGCTGTACGCACAGTGGCGTAGCTAGCGAAAATTTTGGAATGGAATGGCCATTTCCTGCGATTTCACGGCGAAATAAAGGGAGCATCAAAAAATTGTGTGATTAGCGGAAAATTTTTGATACTTTTTTTAGAAAAAAAATTTTGTTATTTTTTGAAATCCATGCATCATTTTTTATCATATTTCACTATATATTTTTCAACTTAACTGAAAATTTAGCTAAATATAGTAAAGTCACGAAAGAGGAAAATATGTATACAATACGCGTCTGTAATATGATCTTTCACTTGATCAACACATAATCAACAATTGCGTAACTATTGTAATGTTGAACACGGCGTTTTATACACTATAACTCTACGGTGGAGTGGTATCAACTACAGACCACTACGCCTGGCACTCTCAATGTAATTCAGTACGCTATGCCTATGGTATAATTGGTATTAATATAGCATTTTATAATATAGCATTTCTAATTCTGAACGCTGATTGGGTAAGAGCTGTGTTGATATAACTCAATGTCAACACGGAAACGTCGGAAAATTTCTTTCTTTATGTTTCTTTATAAAACAAATATAAAACATTTTGTCCGTATTGATATTTTTTCAACAAATATAAAACATTTTTTCCGTATTAACATTTTTTAACATTTTTTTTGTGTTTCCACACAGTTTCTCGTTTGCCCAATTTCCACTCGTGTTGATATAACTGTATTTCAACTCGGAAAATGTTTTATATTTGTTAAATATAACATATCTATGGTTAACAATTCCACCTTATCAAATCCCAAAATCGCTCCTCAAATTCAGATAGTTGTATGGTGTTTGTTAGCTTGCCTAGAATAATGAAATATTCACACTAATTATCTATAGAATAATGAATTATTGACACTAATTATCTAGAATAATGAAATATTCAATTTCATTCATGTCGCTGATCTTAATTTTGTACAGTTTGCCAAACGTAATTTTAATTTAAAAAAACTGACGAATTATATCTAGCTATATTTATATCTGTTTGGAAAGTTACTATTCAGATTGAAAACGATATTTGTATGATCAAATTGATGTAAAATCTTCACAATAATTTCCAGCAAATCTGCATGCTCTTTCCAAATGACAAAACAATTCTTGAATTTCTACTGTTCTTCATTGCAATGGTCTTGCAAAAATCTCTTCAGTTCAAAACTTCATTAATTTTAACATCTACGTACTTGTAATATCCATATCCTCTATCCTCTTGGAAAGTAATTATATAGTATAAAAACACCTGTCTACATACTATATATAAATATATAAGCTCTCAGGCCTCAGCTCGGTGGCACTGTGCCTGAGGTGTAGATTAGATCAAAGGACGTCATACAATATTCTTCTTAATGTGTTTTCAATGCCAAATTGAAATTATTAATCAGTCATTAATCAACTGGAAAGACAAAAAAAGACTAATAAGTAATCAAAATTCACAAATGATCGAAGTGACAGCGTTTTCTAAGCAAGAATATACACTTGCGGACAATGGAGCTGTATGGCATTGTTTTAAATTCGTCTTAACTGGATCATTGTTTCTCCATAGTTTAGTTTCTCTACTGGTTTTAGCAAAACAACTAAATGTCAAGTTTGTATACAGATAATTCGTTAACTGATCTCCCAACCACAACAACATCCTCGGTTCCTCCCATTTCATTTTTCTCTCCGAATGAATTATGTTTGATCACGACTGCATTGGTGTTGATCTCGGTCATTGGAACATTTCAGAATCTCATGGTGGTTGTAGCGGTCGTTTTGAGTAGAAATCGTCTGCTTGAGATCCCATCCAGCTGGTTTGTCTTAAGTTTAGCCGCAGCTGATTTATTTGTATGTGGAGTGAGCGTCCCCACGTATATCATTCACTTGTATATATATTTTTGGGAACCGTTTCTTGCTTTCGGTCAATTTACGACCCTTATCAGTGCGGGGAGCTTGGTGCTACTAACGTTCAACCGTTTCTTGTCAATATACGACACTCTTGGTTATATAAAGAGGATGACAGTCCTTCGCGCACAGTTGTTAGCAACGGGCATGTGGCTCTTGGCAATCACTTTGACAATGATCACTACACTAGGAAAAATCTATGACACTGATAATCTAGTTTTTGTATCAATTGCTTATTATGTGATTATTAATATCCTAACGGGCGGGTTTCATTCATACATGTTCCGCGAATCCTGGGTCAAAACAAAAGCAATAAGAGGTCAGAGACTTGTGGTACTGTCAGGGCAGCAAAAGAATGCCATCCAGGAATATAACCATCTATTTCGACTTGTGATTATCGTAGGAACGTATGTTATAACATGGGTTCCATTCGCTGCAACACTTGCTGTAACTCCAGAGAACGAGGAGCGAAGATCCAGATCATTTCAACGACAATTTGCGCTATTCTACACATTGCTTTCAATGAACTCCGCAATTGATCCCTTCCTGTATTTTCTAAGAAGCCATGAGTTTAAAATGTTTACCCAGAAAGTTAATCGGGTATTGTTACGAACACAACGTCGTGTGAGACCACAAACCGAATCATTTCATATCTATGGAACTGGAAAAACAGGCCACACATGACTCGCTCGTGATTTCACCTTGGAAAGTCTACTCAAGATACACTTGAACCGTATCGCACTGGAACGCAGGCTCGCAGAGAGAGGGGAAGGAGACAGGGGAATCATTTTGCCTTGGACACCCAGCTGAAAAGGAGACCCCCTCTCTCTCTCTGAGAATATTAAGTCCTATAACTGCATTAGGGGCTGATTACATGGATAGTTTGATAAAATCCTATTGAAACACAGCAAGCGATTACAGGATAGAATTTTAGCCGGGGATGAGTTTCAGCCGGGCTGAAACTTCAGCCCAGTTGAAGCTACCCGGGCTGAAAATTTCAGCTCGATTGACCGGGTTGAAAAAAGAGCGTTTAAGTGGCTTTATTTCTGTCTATCAGTCTATTTTTAAATGCAACCACGTACAGTCTCGCAGAAGTCACTAAATATAAATAAACATGGCAACATTTTAAATTCTTCGAAGAAGCGGAATAGCTCCATTTACATTTTGAGACTTGATCGTTTTAGCCCGGGGCTGAGATTTCACCCGGGTTTGAACTGAAATTTAAACTCCGCTCGAGCTGAAACTTGCCATGTAATCGTGAAACAATTTCAGCTCGGTTAACCCAGTTGAAATTCAGCCCGGGCTGAAAATTCTCCATGTCAGTGGTGGATTTATAGGTTGTTGGCGTTGGTCAACGGG